CCTGAAGTACAATAAAAATAAATAAATAAATAAAAAGTAAAAAAAAAAATGAAGTTGCAAAACTAAAGAGGCCAACGATAAAAAAATGCACTAAATGTTTAACCATGTCTTTGTGGCTAGATCAGCAGTAAACATGAACTAGAAGTCAACAAAGGAACCCTCTGGTTAAAAAGGGGCTGTTTTCCAGTCAAATCCGAGAGACTTGGACGGTGCTGGATCAGGCTCTGCCAACCAGCAGGGGCCTAAAAAGCAGCAAAGTGTGTGGAGGCCAGGAGTGGGTTGGTGGCAGGAGATGGGCCAGGGAGAGAAACCTCTGAGAGTGTGGATAGAGGCCAGAGCGTCAGCTCCAGACTCTGCCCTGCCGTTCGCTTCCTTCACGGAGCGAGAGATCAGTGAATCCACCGCTGAGAAGGTCTTCCAGAGCGTTTAAGGAGAGGTGCTCTCTGAACAGAAGCTGCTGTTCTGGCCTGCATATAACTCTGTTTAAATTTCATTTTCTCTCTGAAAGGCCTGAAAGCCAGGCCACTCATTGGAGCTCAGAGTTAATACACTCACTTCACCCACAGCCATTTTATAATGGTCGACAGTGATCAGGCTCCTGTGGGGACCACGATTATTACAGACACCACGAAACCACACAGGGAGTCCAGACGCTACCTGTCACCTCCAACTGCCAGAGACGGACGGACAATTCAGTGCTCCTAGTCACTGCTTCTACACCAACAGACAACTCAACAGTTACCAAGGAAGCAAGTCAACATCGTGTGTGTGAAAGGAAGTGAAAGCTGGCCTCCATGGTGCACCCACATCTGTACACAGCCCCACACCAAAGACACCCAACACCAAGACTTACCACTGGTCCCTTGAGAATGAGACGAGGAAGCGAATGCCAATAGGGAGCCGAGCCATGGACGTCACCGCTAACCACAGAGATTCGGTCACGCAAGAGGATGCTTCATATATGGGCGATTAATCTTTGTTACCCCTCTATTGCTCCTAGAGCTTGCACAGGCTGGGGACATGGAGACACGGCGTCCTGTTGGCCTCCCGTCCCGTCTTCTTCCAGCAGTGGCTCGACACTCTGCAAGGAGGAGAAGTGTCACTGGCAGAAGTCACTAACCCAGCCCGGGTTAGGGCAATACAACAGGGAGCAACCATCCATGGGTACCACCAGGTGGAGGCAGTGTCTGCCCTCGGGGCAGTTTGGTTAAAGGGAATTGAAATGAATTTCACATGCTATTCTGATGAACTATTAAAGGGACCACAGAGGTCATCTGCGTCTGGAAGGCAGCTAGACAGAACACATTCACTCGGAGCTGGGACATGCTACAGAAGCAGAATTGCTACTCACATGAAACCAAGTTTGTGACAGTGGTTATACCGTGTGCTCGATTACAGACTGTGCCAGGGCAACTGGACATGCTCGATCCCACCCATGTGGACCAGGCCACCTCTGAGCCATGAAGAGGAGCGCAGGCCTGTCCAAGATGGCAGGTTGTCAAGCCCGTCACTTCACTGTGGCTTTGCAATTTGAATCCAAACCTGTGTAATGTGGTGGGAGCTAACTTCACCTATTTACCTCTTCTTTTTTCCTCTCCTGTGGGTCACCACGAAGTTCTTGGAAATCACAAAGTCCAGGCGAATGGCAGAGTTGGCAGTGGGTAGGGAAGCCTGAGAGCCGTAAGGCCCCCAGCTCACCAGGCCCGGTCTCCCCTTCTGCATTTGGTGACAAGACCTCCATGGATCGACGCTTCACACGACACCGTACGCAGTAACCCTGTGCGTGCCGTAATGTGGATTTTTCTATCTTTACATTTACAGAATAGTCACAGGTTATATAATTTTTTTTAACAAAGCTATTTTTGAGTAAAAAATCAATCTGGATTTAAAGAAACTGAAATTTATTTAATGTCTTCGCACAACTTGCTTTTGGATAAGTACTAGCAAACACCTTCCACTCAGATTTATTGTTGTTATTAGGTGCTGATGAGTCGATTCTGACTCACAGCGACCCCGTGTATGACAGAATGAAACGGTGTTCAGTCCTGGCGAAGTCACTGTGTCTTCCAAACCAGAATTGGTCTTGGCACATCCACTCTTACCCTCCCTTCAGACTGAGCTTTCAAAATATATACCTTCTTTGATGATTTTCCTTTGTATGTCTTTTAGAAAAAAGTTCAAAACCCTCGACAAGCTTTCATCCCAGAGCCACACTGACCTCCTCATCTCCCCAGGCATCTCATTGTGGAGGGCTGAGTGGTAGAGGCTGTCATGGATTGAATTATGCCCCCACCAAAAATGTATCAGTTTGGCTGGGCTATGATTCCCAGTATTGTGTGGTTGTCTTCCATTTTGTGATTATAATTTTATGTTAAAGAGGATTAGGGTGGGATTGTATAACACCCTTACTAAGGTCACATCGCTGATCCAGTATAAAGGGAGTTTCCATAGGGTGTGGCCTGCGCCACCTTTTATCTTACAAGAGATCGAAGGAAAGGGAAGCAAGCAGAGAGTGGGGACCTCATACCACCAAGAAAGCAGTGAGGGGAGCAGAGTGCATCCTTTGGACCCAGGGTGCCTGCGCGGAGAAGCTCCTAGTCCAGGGGAAGATTGATGATGACAAGGACCTTCCTCCAGAGCCAACAGAGAGAGAAAGCCTGCCCTTGGAGCTGATGCCCTGAATTCGGACTTATAGCCTACTAGACTGTTAGAAAATAAATCTCTCTTTGTTAAAGCCGTCCACTTGTGGTATTTCTGTTATAGCAGCACTAGTTGACTAAGACAGAGGCCTACTCGTTCCTGCCAGGAGACCCAACTGCCTGTGCACCATGGGGCCCTCCAGCCACTATCAGGTCTGAGCAGATGCTATTCATTCCACCTGAGTGCTTCCCAAATGACCTCAGGCATGTAAATTTAGGCCTGTAACTTAACCTTTCTGCTTTTCTCACCTTCTCTGGCTAAAACATGGGGACAAAAGCACCTCTATTTCAGCATTGTTATAAAAATGAAACAAGACAATGCATGGAAAGCACTTAGCACGGGGCCTGGTGTATAGTCAATGCTCAATACAGATCGGCTGGCATTATCCTTGTTGTAAATTCAGGATCGGAAGGTCCAAGACAGCAGAGGGCTGCCCCATTCCCAATGTCTAGCTCAGAACCTAGTACAGAGCAAATGCTCACGAAACTCGTGTTGACTGAATGGTCACAAATGCTACAAGACTGCTTGTGCTCATATCTCTAGATCTAAAACAATTTTTACTGAAATTTTGCTCAACGTGAATGGGCTCCTGATTGGACCTGGAAATACTCTGAGAAAGAAACTTTGCAATGATGGCTTCAAAGTAAAGGATTTCGTTTAGATTTTACAAGGCCTGAAAATGGACGTTCAGAATCAAAGGTCTTCCTCCATCCAAATACTGCTTTTCTATGCACCCCAGAAAAACCAAACCAGGTGCCATCAAGTCAATTCCAGTCCATGGTGACCCCATGTGTGTCAGAGTGGAACTGGCCCCATAGGGTTTTCAATGGTTGATTTTTCAGAAGTAGATTGCCAGGCTTTTCTTCCAAGGCACCTCTAGGTGAGTTTGAACCACCAACCTCTTGATGAGTAGTTGAGCGCTTAAGTTTGCACCACCAAGGGACTCCTTTCCATGCACAGGTTGTTCTCTTTCAAGTCTAGAAAGGTTCAAGTGCCATCTACTAAGTCAATCAATCAATAAACCTCAAGTCAACTGTTAAAACCTGTAACAACAAAAAAGGCCCGAAGCCACTAAAGAGATCAGTAGGAAAAAAATAAAAACTCCTTGATTTCCTTTTAAAACAATGAAAGTAACTGCTATAAATTCTCACACCAGGTGAAATTAAGATGTGTAAAGACAGTGACTTTACATTTGAGATATTAACAGCCACTATAATGAGGCCTTTTCCCACGGAAAACCACTCATTTAGAGCTGGTGGAGACCTTGAGATCCTTAGCGATGATGATGATGATGTAGTTGACCTCATCTGAGCCCTCCCACCATGCTAAAGAAAAAGCATTGCCTACATTTCACAGATAAGGAAAAACGAGGCCGGTGGCTCAGCCTGGGTCGGTGGGATATGGTGGGGCAAATTCCAGTTTGTTCTGTTTCCCGAAGTGCACGCCTCCCACCAGCCTCGCTTCTACTGGCCTGATTGGGCAGTACTGGCCTGATATATCTACCATGTGTTACGGATTGAACTGTGTCCTTCCCCCCAAAAAAATGTCTGTCAACTTGGCTAGGCCATGATTTCCAGCACTGTGTGACTGTCCACCATTTTGTCATCTGATCTGATTTTCCTATGTGTTGTAAATCCCACCTCTATGATGCTAATGAGGCAGGATTAGAGGTGGTTATATTAATGAGGCAGGACTCAATCTACAAGATTAGGTTATATCTTGAGCCAATCTCTTCTGACATATAAAAGAGAAGTGAGCGGAGAGATAGGGGGACCTCATACCACCAAGAAAGCAGTGACCAGAGCAAAGTGCCTCTTTTGGATTCAGGGTTCCTGTGCGGAGAAGCTCCCAGACCACGGGAAGATTGATGACAAGGACCTTCCCCCAGGGCCAACAGAAAGAGAAAGCCTTCCCCTGGAGCTGGCACACTGAATACAGACTTCTAGGCACCTGGACTGTGAGAGAATAAATTTCTCTTTGTTAAAGCCATCTGCTCGTGGTATTTCTGTTATAGCAGCACTACACGACTAAGACACCACGGAGAGGGCAGCAGAACAGGAGCAGGTCACTTGGCTCTGGCACACAGCCAGGTACATAGAAAGAAAACGACCTTTTTTGGTTAAGTCACTTTTTATAGGCACCCCTTGAACTTGCAAACCCCCTGGAGGAAAAGTGTCAGAATGTCTACTTTGACCGTACCATCAAAGCGGCAAGAAACACCCCATTAGAGCGCCTCTGCGAACCCTGGGAAACACAAGTTTTATGCCGTCTTCAGAAAGGGCCTGGGTAGCACAAGCAGTCTGCATTTGACTACTAACCTGAAGGTTGGCTGTTCAAACCCACGTCGCGGCTTCGAGGAAGAAAGGCCTGGTGATCTGCTTCCGTAAAGATTACAGCCAAGAAAACTCCACGGAGCATAGGTCTACTCTGTAACCCATGGAGTCACCAGGAGTCAGTGGCCAGCTGGTTGGGATTACCCTGAGCAACTATACATCCTCAAGCCCCACCCTCAGACCCACCCACTTGGTGATCTGTGCGCCTAGAACATTTCCCAGTACTCCATGGAGATCAGGTAAGGAGGTTAAAAACAAACAATAGCAAGAGTGAGATCCAAACGGTCTTTCCAGGGTCTGAGCTGCCACCATAAATAATCAAATTGGTCCCACGTGTATTTTACATAATCGACTTAAAAACAAAAAATGTTCAGCGTGTGCCTCATTTTAAAGGCAAAGATGGGTGAAAAACGCATCTCCCCCAAGAAACGTTTTCATACATCCTTCTTTTTCACCAAGAGATACAGACAGGACAACTTCCTTTCCAGAGTAAACACTTTCTATGTTTTTATGCTTTTAGAGAATATTAAAGATGAATGCAAACAGCCTTCCCTTTCCCTTGGCTTAAGTACAAAAAGGAATCTGAATTCTATTCACTCCACTATCCTTCCCCTCACCTAGAACCCCAAAGGCGGTGGTCTGCATACAAGGAAGTGCAGCTCCATAACCATGCTTTGACACAGACAGTCTAAGAACCCTGAGTTTTCAATGTTGACCTAAAAAGGGATTAATGAAGGGAGGATCTAATACGGTTACCAACTCAACCAACTCCACACAATTTAAGTGTCCAGACAGAGTAGGCGGCACCTTCCTGGCAGTCAGATTTAGGAGAGTGAAAGAGACAGCAGGCTTTGGAATTTCTCTTTAGAAATGCAAACCTGGGGCGCGGGGTGAGGGGCTTTCTCCGGTCAAATGCAAATCCTCAGACCCTACCTCTTTGGGCTACCCAGACCGTAGCAGCTGCGAGGGCTCGGAGTGGGATGAGGAGGCCAAGAGCCAGAGGCTAGCGGTCAGCGGCCAAAGGACTTCCCGGCGTTCTAAACCCCATAAACCAGGGAGGTCGCTGTCATTCCCGGTTGGCCCGGAGGGTCTCGAGCGCAGGAGCCAGCAGCTCAGCAAACAACTACCCAGGGGCCCGGGTGCTGGCGCTCGAGCCCGTGGAGAGGTTTTGCGCTGGCCCCTCCCCGGGCGTCTGGTCCCAGCAGGGGGTGAGTTCAGCGGGAACCGCCACGTCCCCACCGCGCGGCAGACAATGCGCGTGGTAGCCTTTCGCCGGGTCCCCAGACCCCCGCTGTCACGGCGGCCGGGGCGGGGACTTGGCCGGGACAGTTGGGCTCGTCCCAGCCCAGGGCTCCGGTGCGGCCGCCGGTCTCCCTGCCTCCACCTCCCCGGAGCCCCCGCGGCGCCGCGTTCGAGAACGCCCGGCACTGTCGCCCAGGGGCACTCTTCCAGATCTTTATTTCAGGTAGTTCCCCCAAGGAAAGGGGCGCTGGAGACCTTACTGCTCCCCTCCGCAAAAAACGCAGAGGGCCGGGGGCAACCCGGAGAGGGCAGGGACTCCGCCGCCTGGCTCCCGGCGGGGGCAGCGACCCGGTCCCCGCGGGTCCCCGCTCGTCACCCGGGCGGCAGGTG